AGTTGCCAAAACTCCTCACGAGATGTGGACTGGTAAAGTACCCAAACTAGACCACATCAAGATTTGGGGTTGTGAGGCTTTCGTGAGATGCGAGACTCATGATAAGCTCAAACCTCGAAGCGACATGTGTATTTTCATCGGCCACCCATAGCAATCCTTTGGTTACCTCTTCTACAGACCTAGTGATAATGTGATCTTTGTAGCAAGAAGAGGAGTCTTTCGAGAAAGAGAGTTTATAAGCCAAGGAGATAGTGGGAGGCAAATTGATCTTGAAGAAATGAAAGGGTTAAGTGGTGATGGAACTTCAAACTCTAGCCCTCAACTTGAGGAGAAAACTCCTGTTGAGCCAATTGACGGATCTGTACCTCTGAGGCGTTCCACGAGAGTTAGGAGTGCACCTGAGCATTACTATGGATTCCATATTATTGCAGAAGGTGAGACCCTCCATTAGTGATGGGACACTAGTAAGTCAAGATGACCCTAACAGCTACGAGGAAGCCATGGCAGGCCTCGAGTCTGCTAAATGGAAAGAGGCTATGGATAGCGAGATGCAATCCATGTATGACAATCAAGTTTGGAACTTGGTTGAGAATGTACCAGGTCGTAAGATAGTAGGGTGCAAACGGATCTTCAAGAAAAAGACCGACATGGATGGTAATGTACACACTTATAAGGCTCGACTGGTCGCAAAGGGCTTCTCTTAAATTCCTGGAGTGGATTATGATGAGACCTTTTCTCTAGTAGCCAAGATTAAGTCTATTAGGGTTATGTTAGCCATAGACGCATTTCATGACTATGAAATTTGGCAAATGGATGTCAAAACCGCTTTCCTTAATGGAAAGTTGGCTGAAGATGTTTACATGAGTCAGCCAGAAGGTTTTGTCAGCAGCGAGTACCCTAATAGAGTGTGTAAGCTTGAGAAATCCATCTATGGATTAAAGCAATTTGGCTTTTCTAGGAGTGAAGATGAATCTTGTGTGTATGTCAAGGCTAGTGGGAGTATAGTTAGCTTTTTGGTATTGTATGTGGATGACATACTACTCATAGGAAACGACATTCCAATTCTGCAGGAAGTAAAGTCCTGGCTTGGGAAGTGTTTCGCTATGAAGGACCTTGGTGAAGCTGCTGATATTTTAGGGATAAGGATCATGAGAGATCGGAGTAAAAGACTAATTGGACTTAGTCAGAGTAGCTACTTGGATAAGGTGCTGAAGAGATTCAGCATGCAGGACTCCAAGAAGGGAGAGTTACCCATCCAGAGTAACGCCAAATTGAGTAAGACACAAAGCCCTAGCACTGAGGCAGAGATAGCAGAAATGAGTCGAATACCTTATGTTTCGGCTGTAGCATCGATCATGTATGCTATGACGTGTACTCGACCTGATGTAGCCTTTTCCCTGAGCATGGTTAGCAGGTTTCAGGGGAACCCTGGCAAGGCACACTGGACTGCGGTAAAGAATATTCTCAAGTACCTAAGAAGGACTAAGGACTGGGTCCTTACCCTCGGTGGGAGTGATGACTTAAGATTTGTAGGGTATAGTGATGCTAGCTTCCAGACTGATAGGGATAACTTCCGCTCTCAGTCGGGCTGGGTCTTTACCCTAAACGGAGGAGCAATTTCTTGGAAGAGTTCCAAGCAAGAGACAGTGGCTGATTCAACTTAAGAATCAGAGTATATTGCAGCGAGCGAGGCAGCAAAGGAGGCTATATGGCTAAAGAACTTCATCAGAGACCTTGGAGTTGTACCAGCTATTAAAGAGCCAATGGAAATTTTCTGTGATAGTGAAAGTGTTGTTGCCTTAGCCAAGGAACCAAGGGATCATGGGAGATCCAGACACATCGACAGAAAATACCATTTTATTAGACATCAAATAGAAGAAGGACTCCTCGTGACAAAGATGGTATCATCGGATGAGAACCCAGCAAATCCCCTCACGAAGGGACTGACTCGGGTTAAGCATCTCTAGCATGCTCGGAGCATAGGGCTGAAGGATGATATTAGATTTAGTAGTTAGATAACCTCGAAATTTGTAAAGTGTAATTGACATTAGATGATGAATAAAAGTTGGGTTATTTATGAGTAAAGTGTTGCTATCTCTTGTCAATCGTTTCCTATATTTCTTTTGCATGTTTTGACTTCAAGAATAATTTTGTTTGGTATAACATATTATTCAAACATCCACAGTCGGTCATATGTCGGAAGTAGGTATGAATCAATACTGTCATGATTGGTTGCAGAGGTCTAAGGTGTTAGACAAGGCTACAAAAATCATGAGTGCTCATAAGTTCTGAGCATTGGACTCAACCTACACTCACTGGAATCACTTCATGGAATTCTATCTCGAGTGATCGTGAGACGGTAATATCATATAAGTCTTCAAACCTAGAGATATGATTTGTTACTTACAAGTTGGTTATGCATTGATTGTATGAAAACGCATCGGTAACTCAATGTTATAAATCATGCTTTTGTGTGTAATTCAATGATTGGTAGACAAACCTATGAGTCGAAGTTTATCTGTTCCTTCTTTGATTAGAAGCTGATATCTGGTCCCCTCGACGATTTTGTTTTGACCTATGTACCGGGCCCGGTCATAACTAAGTTGATGTGTTCAAATAAGTTCTTTGTCAAACAAATCGGAAATCGGGAAACAAACTGTTGGACAATAAGTAAGACATTGTTCCATGTATTTGTCCGACTGATATCTAGAACAGAGGATTATATGATCACTTATCTTAAATGGCGTACCATCATCTTCTCAGTTCCGAGAAACCTTGAAAAGAGCTACGATTGCCGATCGGTTCCTGAAGTCATACTTGCAGTAATAGTTATTAGACTTATCCAAGTGGGAGACTGTTGGATAAGGTGTCTAAGTCCATAACTATTTCTGTTATGTACTTGACCCGACCCGGCATGGTCCATTTGGGTTGCATGGCACCATGCAATTGGATAGACTAAATGAGAGAAATAACACTTGGAAATTATTAATATATTATAAGTTCTAATATATTAATAATATTATTTGATTAGTTTGATCAAGAATTAATTTAGAATTAATTAAGTGATCAAAAGATAACTAATTAAATATATGGGTTGATTATGTAAATCATCCATATCTTGTATAGTGGGCTAAGAGGCTCCATGGATTATCAAGTTGGGTTCCACCCATAGGATGCTCCATGGATGCTCCATGGGAGTTACAAACCCATGGGTCATGGAAATGAAGAGTCATGACACATTAGGGTTTACATGGTGTAACCCTAGATGTGTCAACACTATATAAGAATCATATTCTCCATCAAAATCGGCTACACACATGTGAAGCAAGAGGGCTAGGCCGATTTCAAGTAGTGTGCATTCTCTCAAAAGTCTTTCCAGGAGCATTTGTTGTTGTGTGAAGCATTTGAGGCATCACACTTGGGGTGCTAGGCTCATAAGGTTTCAAGGAACATAAGCAACAACAAGGTAAATTATTCTATCTATCATTCAAGTTAAAATTGTTCCCCATGTATGCTAGACAGGAATATAGCCTTGGAATTCAAGTTTGCATGATAATTAGACAAACATAGATCCAAGGTTATTAGGGTTGCATGTACACTTAGGAAGTGTTAGAATGCTCAAAACCCAACAAACTCACCTCACACTATTGAATTCCCGTAGACATAAACCCACATTGTTGAAGTCCTACAGACTTCACCCCAGTTGCTGGATGACAGATTCCCAAACTGTCAACACCAAAATAACACCCAATTAATAATTGGGTCCCAACACATAATCATTGATACTTACTTGGATAATTACTACATTAACCCAAGGTTGGCTTTGTGCAAGCCCAAGGCCTAATCCTTAGGCCTAAAGTCCACTAGGAAATTTAAGCCCAACATATGGCCCAATTTTCCAAATTAGGCCCAGACCTATACATTTTCTTATTCTTAGGCCCAACATTATACAATCATTAAGGTCCAACTATGGACTAATTTTCTAAATTGGACCCAACCCCTTACATGGGACTTACCCTAGGCCCATAAATTATTTTAGTCCATATAATTATTCTTGGATGACCCAATAATAATCTAATCATCAAGGCCCACTAGAAAGGCCCAACAATAAACCCAAGTGAAGTTAGTGTTTCACATAAAACGCTTATTAGGGTTAAGTTCCATACCTAACCCATTAAGCACTTAATCCACTAAGTACTTAATCCATTAAGTCCAATATTACATAGATTAATTTATTCCAATGATTATTATTTAATATCTCCAGTTATTAAATAATTCCCGTATGTCCCGATTAATTCCCCATATTAGGATTTTATTGGCAGAAGGGTTTTCCAATCTAAATACTAGCCCATTTATCAATTTGTTGGGCTTGCAGACCAATTAGGGTTTTATTGGGCCTATTAGGCCCACTAGAATATCATTAAGTCCGTTAGGGTTTGCATTGGGTCAATTTGAGTCCATTAGACCCACTAGGGTTCTCACTAAGCCAATTTGGCTACATTGTGCCCATTAGGGTTTCTAGCACCTCAAACGAATCAACCACAACGAGGCAAAGCACACCGCCACCCGACACGGTGGCTGGTGGTGACAGGAGGGCGCAGCCACCACCCTATGATGGTGGTTTGAGTTTCTTTTCATTACTCTTTTTTTTTTTTTTTGTTACAAAGACCACAACTCGCCCACAACCACCTTTCATGTTGGCTTGTAGCGGCAGAAAACGTTCCCGGCAACAACCACCGTGGTTAGCTGCCATGGTGGTCCTCTTGTGTCTTCCAGCTAATAATTTACTCACACACGACTTGCAAATCAGAATCCGGACACAACCACCCACTAGTGGTGCGCGGTGATGGCAATAGTAATCGTAGCATCCACAACTATGGCTAAAGGCGGTGGCTAGCGGTCACGAATAGGAAATAGCAACAGCAGAACGGGTGAGGAGGATTAGGAGAGACCACCTTGGACTGAAGCACCATTGGCCAACGGCTAGTGGTGCCTCCGTCTTAAACTATTGGAGAGCGAGGGGACGATAATGAAATAGTAACGAAATGTGCCTTCGCCGGCAGCCAAGCCATGACCGCATCTCGATGGTGAAACAAAAGGCGACGTCGTTTGGGACTCCATTTGATCGTCGGTGGCGGCTGGGGAGAATGACAAGGTGGTGGCGTCGGAGATGGAAGGTATAAGGTAAAGGTGGCGACTTGATATGATATGCTAGGGTTAGGGTTACGGAAAAGCTTTATACCCGATACCATCCTAAACTTAATTCCATAATGACGCCTTTAGCCCCTCCCCTCCAATTTGCTTTCATAGCAAGTCCAATACATTACCATTTAACCCCTCCTTTTGAAAATCTCAACAAGATAACTCCAAATTTTACTAAACAACCCCCAAATTGTAAAATCTTTGCAAGACTAATCCAAAATTTACCTTTTTATCTCATTCAATGGAAATCCCTTACAAATTAAGTCCCATAAACTATCAGACAACCCCAAAAATCTTAATTATGACATAATCAGCCCTTCCACCTCATTTCCTATTAAATTAGACCCAAATAATTACCATAGATCCCCTGACCTCATAAATACTTACAAATTAAGTCTGGAACACACACTTTTAACCCCTGACTACCAGAACTAAGACAATTAGCCCTTCGAGACCATCATTGGATATATAATTATTTATTTTAGGGCTATGAGTCCTTTATTTATTTATTTAATAAATAAACGGGTGTTCCACTTATCTTTTCTAGCAAAGAGTAATCCAAAAGATTTTAAACATATCTCCCCATCATCATATTTGTTAAGTTCAGCTTGGGTCTTCGTAGCTTCCATAGCAACATTCACTTCCTTTCCCATTGTTGATGCTAACTCCACGTCAGGGAATGCTAGATGATCATAGTGATTGTCAATGAAGATTTTGATATGACCAAGACCAAGCATCAAAACATTTTTATCAGTCCCTTGAAGTTGCATAGCCTCCACGTCTTTTAGGAGTAATGCAACTTGAATCAGGTCATTCAAGTTCATTAAAGGAAAATCAGCAACCGAAAAATCACAAACTTGATTGTTTGCCCTCACAACATGATACCAAAAATTATGTATCACTTTCTCGAACAAGAGATCCTTTGTTATACTGATGACCTTCTTGATCTTCACCAATGACCATATTTCTTCTGGTTCTTATCCAAGAACTGCATGAAACCTAAGTTTCATATAAATATAATCATCTTCATTGTCCAACTTCTTAATTATTTTGTATTGAGCCATGATAAACATCATTTCATTCACTGGAAAATGAAGCTGACTGATATCAGTGTTACTGATAGAATAACTTTTCTTAGGCTTCTACTCAAAAGCATACATATGATTAAAAGCAACACTTACTTCAATATTCTCATAACTGTACAACTTCTTTGGATCTCCCTTTTCCATGCCAGGTGGATCATTTTCAAGAAGTCTCAGTATACTTGGTATTTGCCTTTTTTTCTCCATTTCAACTTCAATTTCAGCCTTCCTCTCTTTTTTTGATTTTTCAACCCAAATCCCCTTCCATTTTCCATCATCTTCAGAAGGTTTTGGTTTAGAAGAACTTGAACTTCCTCCTTCATTAGAAGCACCAACAACAATTGCTTTCAGAATAGGTCTTCTTCTTGTCTTGATGGCTTCTATTGTATTCACCTTTGAAACTATAGGTGTTGGGACTTGTGTAGGTACAACTTTCGTTACTTCAGTAGTGGTTACAAGCTTCGTTAGTTCACTGATTACAGTATATGTCAATCGTTTTCGTCTTTTCAACCCCTTGAATTTTCTTTTCTCCCTTTGCACCTCTGTGATAGAAGGAGGGGCATTTGTTGGTAAAAGATTGAGAATTCATGACAATGGTGCCATTGTTTGTGAACAACTGATTCAAACAACATAAATTTCTCAGATAGAAATTCAGGTGTGATCAGAGGAAATAAGCTTGGCTGAGAAATTAATGCATTCAACTCATTTAACAAAGTGGTGATCTCCATGAAGCTTTTACTATCACCTGAATATAGTTGAGTAATTTGAGGACTTAAAGCTTCATACACTTTGACAAACTTCGTGACCACATTTACACTGATATCCATCTTCTGATTAAGAGGCGCATAGTCTTGTTAAGCAACAACAATCTCTTTGTGCATATCTGTTGGGTTTTGAGCATTCTAACACTCCTAAGTGTACATGCAACCCTAAATACCTTGGATGTATGTTTTCTCTATTATACATGCAAATATAAACTTTCCAAGGTATTCATCCTAACTAACATAATAACATTGATTCATATGAATATATCAAGTTAGAATTACATACCTCTTTGATGTAGAATGCCTTCATGAAGCTTGAGTGCCTAGTAACCCTAGTGTGACACCTCAAATGGTTCACACAACACCAAATACACTTGGAATAGATTGAGAGAACATACACACTTCATGAAATCGGCTATCCCTTTCTATTACCCTCAGAGAACGATTTTCTCCAAGAATAAGATCATTATATAGTTAGGGTTACAACATGTAAACCCTAATTGTCATGGCCTTTCATTTCCATGATCCATGGGTAAAAATAGACCATGGAGCATCCATGGAGCATCTTATGGGTTTTAGCCCAACTTGACAATCCATGGAGCATTAGCTCACTATATAAGTATGCATGATTTACACAATCAACCCATATATTTAATTAGTCTTCTTTTGATCACTTAATTAATCCTAAATTAATTCTTGATCAATACTTATTAAATAATCTTATTAATATATTAGAACGTATAACATATTAACAAACCGTAAGTGTTATTTATCTCATTTTAGTCTATCCAAATGCATGATGCCATGCAACCCAAATGGACCATGCCGGGTCGGGTCAAGTCTTACCAATTATAGTTATGGACTTAGACATTAATCCAACAGTCTCCCACTTGGATAAATCTAAAACTATTATTGCGTATGACTTCAAGAACTAACTGGCAATCATAGCTCTCAAAAGCTTCTGTCGAACTCTAGCCTTGTAGATGAACTCTGACATTTGTCAATGGCTTGTCCATTAGATAAGGGATCATATATTCCACCATTCTAGATATCATATGGACTGAGACATGGATTATAATCATTCTCTCTGTCTATTTATTGTTTCCCGATTTCTTATTTATGACGACAGACTAATTGAACAAATCAAATCAGTCCAGGCCTGGCCGAGCACTTACATTTGTCATCACCAAATCATCAAGGGACCCACATATATCGCTTTTATCCTGAAGGTAAAAGGAATGGATAAACTTTTATTCATATGACTTGTTCTACTACTTGTTGAATCATACACAAAGGCACGTTTTATAACATCGAGGTACCGAATCCATTTTCGTGCAATCAATGTACAACGAACTCATAGTAACAACTCATATCTCTAGGTTTGAAGAATATAAGATATTATCATCTCATGATCACTCGTGATAAAATCCATGAAGTGATTCCAATGAGTGCGGGTTGAATCCAGTACTCAAAACTTATGAGCACTCATGAGTGTTGTAGCCCTTTATCCAACATCTTACACCTCTACAAGCCAACCCATGATAGTCTTAATTGATATCTACTTCCAACATATGACCGACTGTGGATGGTTTGAATAACTTACTCATCCATAACAATCACCTAGTTATTCTAGAAGTTAAAACATGCAAAGTGAAACACAATAATAATTGAATCCAATATGGTATCAAAACCTATGAACATAAATAAAACACCTTTTATTTATCACCATATGATTAAACGTTATTCATAGTATATTGTTTCAGTTATCAACTTTACTTTTGAATTTAAAACAGTAGTTCTTCCATGCTCCGAGCATATACACTATGTTTTCTAAACACTAGTCATGCCACACATGAAGTATGCATACTATGTTTGTCTATGATCTTTACTTTGTGAATTGGATCAATTGAACATAACTCCAATGATCCTCTTTTTCACGGCCTCATGAATCAAGATCTTAAACACAGAGTTTTGATACGTCTAAATCGGGATTGGTTTGATCAATGACCTCTTGGACATACGTTATTGTGTGTGAACTATGTTAGGTTGTCACTGTTGGATTAATGTCTAAGTCCATAACTATAATTGGTAGGACTTGACCCGACCCGACATTGTCCATTTGGGTTGCATACCATTATGCACTTGGATAGACTATAATGAGAGAAATAAGACACTTATGGTTATTAATATATTATAAGTTCTAGTATATTAATAATAAGAATAATAAGATTATTTAATTAGTATTGATCAAGAATTAATCTAGGATTAATTAAGTGATCAAAAGAAGACTAATTAAATATATGGGTTGATTGTGTAAATCATCCATACTTATATAGTGGGCTAATGCTCCATGGATAATCAAGTTGGGCTAAAACCCATAGGATGGTCCATGGATGCCCCGTGGTGTATTTGAACCCATGGATCCAAGGAAATGGAAAGCCATGACAATTAAGGATTTACCCTAATTGTAACACTATATAATGATCTTATTCTTGACAAAAGTCGGCCACTAGAATCACATTAGAAAGTGAAGAAAAGGGCTAGCCGATTTCATGAAGTGTAGAACTCTCTCAAGTTATTCTAAGTGTTTTCATGATTGTGATTCCATTTGAGGCTTCCACACTATTGGGGCTAGGCACTCAAGCTTCATCAAGACTTTCTACATCAAAGAGGTATGTATTCTATCTTGTTACACACATTGTTTTGTATGCTAGATTAGGATAATGCCTTGTATGTTCTTATTTGCATGTATAATAGAGAAAAAATAGATCCAAGGTATTTATGGTTGCATTTACACTTAGGAGTGTTAGAATGCTGAAAACCCAACAGTGGTATCAGAGCCTAGGCTTGTTTTCTTGTTATACCTGCAAAACTGCTTAAAAAATCAAAAGTGTTGCTGTTTGATCATCAGACTCGGCGAGTCCATCAAGGGACTCAACGAGTCCATGCCTAAAAAATTGATCAAAACGATCCAACTCGCCGAGTCGGTTCTTGCACTCGACGAGTTGGACCCCCAGACAACATATTTTCAAGGTTTTTGGCTAGAAATGGACTAGGAACATTACCCTATGTTGTTTTTGAACTTATAAACTTGTTTTTAATGTGGTAATGTTCATGCTAATCCATTTTCAAAGATAATTGTCAATAGATTCATGTTTTGTATTAGTTTAAGGTTTAGACTAATTACATGAGAAAGTTTGATTCGAATTATCTTGTTCTTATGAGTTGCTTAGATTAATAGAAAAGTTAATTGAAATAGTTGTTTTCAATCCATTTTAATCTAAGAGTTGAGTATAAAATCTGTTTGTGTAACTTGTCCTCAAGTTACATGAAGAGTCACATTAAAGACTCATAAAACTCATAAAAGTTGGTAATGGTTACAAAATGAAGAGTCTTGTGTAGTTGATTTTTTTTATGACTCCACAACTTGTCCTCAAGTTATGGAAGTTCAAGAGTCACTTCATTAATAAACAAATAAATAAAGTGTAACCTTAATTAATTCCATAAGTTTTAAAAATAAAGAAAAGTTAATTCTCTTATTAGTTTAAAGTCTTCCATAAGTTATGGAACTTGAAGAGTTTTTTGGATTATAACTACTTTAAACACATAAGTTATGGAATTAATTAGTTTTGAATAGTTTCAAAACTTTCCCTCAAGTTTTGGAATTTGAAAAGTTTTCTCTTATGAATACTTTAATTCCAAGTTAGCCCTTAGAATTCTAAAGAGTTAAAATTCAACACTTATACTATTTATAACATTAATGGTTAATTATATATATATATATATATATGTATAAGAACAAGTCGTTTTACCGTTAGTAGGCCTTATTCACGAAACCAGTCTATAAGGTGGGTATAAGGTTGTTGCCTATAAAATGGCGACTTAATGGGTGTCCAATCTCACCCACCGCTTGCTTGATCGGTGGAGGGTCGTTAGCCGAACGGGTAGGACAATGACTTTAAATTCTCATTAAAAGTATATAATGAATATTATAAAGTAACTAAATATTTTTTAATTTAATTCCAAATCTTAGTTACTTTAGGAAAAATGTGAATTTGGTGCTAGCCCATGGAATTCACACTTTGTACCTTACCAAGTCGTTGGTGGAGCGTGTGTGGTTAACCGGCACACTAACTTGGACTAGTAAGGACCACGAAGGGTGACTTAATGTTTGTCATAGATCAATGGAGCGTGTGTGGTTAACCGACACATTGATTAGGTGATAATATTAAGGGTACCAAGTGAATTGGTATGGTTATTCACACCTTGTTTTGTGATCCTCGGCATCCAGTCACAAAATTTGAGAGGGCACACTCGAGATTGAAACATGCCATTGAAAAGTTCAATGAATCTCAAAAGATCTAGGAATTTCAAATCCAATTAAAACCTAATAAATTATTTCTTTTTTTTGTGGTGGAAATTGGTGAATCATCATTCACCTACCTTCAAATATCTTATAGCATGGATTACGGCATCCCTCTTCCAAATTATAAAATATTGTGTTGGGTCCTAGCCTTAATATTTCATATTGGTGTCATATTAAGGACTTTAAATCAACTATCTTGAATATCTCCCAAAACATGTCTGGTTTAGACATTTATGATCTTCCCAAATCATTTGAAGATGGTGTCCCTCAACATCATGCTTCTCTTCCTCCACCTCCTCCAATTATTCTCCCTCACCCGCAAGTTCTTGAAAAGTTTAAAGTCACTCGAGCCCTATTGGCAAGTAAAGGTCTTGGTGTGGTCACATCTTGGAGATGTAGTCACATATTCACAAGCCGGGAGAGTTGGGTGTCAAAGTCTTGAGAAAGTTGGTGGTTCAATCACTTTCTAAGTCACATAGTGAGTTCTTTTGGAACACCTATGAAAAGGACTATGACAATACCCTTGATGATTTTATCTATTTGTTAAGATCAAGTTCCTCAAAACTTGATGGACATTGACAATAGTGACACGGGAAATCCAGAAAAGCATTCTCTTCCCAATGGAAAGGGACCGGCCATAGTCAACTCGGTTGACCAAATGGTAAAGAGAAAGGCTCAGTCTGAGATAGTCTCATGT